ACAAAGTCTACGAGTATATAAATAGAATAAACATAATACATATATATACATCCCGGTGCATTTTAAAATTTAGGGTTAAGGGTTTAGGGTTTAGGGTTTAGGGTTTAGGGTTTAGGGTGTACGTACTGTATGTGTTTGTTTGGTAGTTTTAAGTACTCGTATAGAATTGGATACAGTATCACTAACTAGACTACTAAAGAAACCAATAAATGCATTTCTTATATGGTAACCAAAAGGAAAAGAGAAAAGAGGTAAAAAAGAAGAAAGATAATTATGCGTAAAAAACCAAGGAAAATGTCCTACCCATGTTGCACCTAATGCAGCTACTGAGCCATAATATAATTTACTAAATCCATGCAGACGGACTGTATAAAGGAAAAAAAAGAAAAAAAAAGAAAAAAAAGAATAAAAAATAAGAAAAGGGAAAGAAAAAGAGTAATGCATTATTTAATTCAAGAAATTCAAAAAAATTCAAAAAAAAAAAATCCTAAACCCTAAACCCTAAACCCTAAACCCTAAACCCTAAACCCTAAACCCTAAACCCTAAACCCTAAACACTAGACCACTAGCAAAATGTGGCAAAATTTCAGGGAAATAAAAACACTTATTTTTATTTATTTATAAATAAATATAAATTTATAAATATATGCTGCATTAAACCCTAATAATAATCCCTCTACAGGAGCGTAAACCCTAAACCCTCAGAACCCATCTTTCATTCCGAGGGCTTTCTTCCCTAAACCCTAAACCCTAAAAACTCATAAAAAAAAGGGTTTAATAGACGCACCTTTCTGCACAAGTTGATGTAAACCATCGCCTCCATGGACCTGCTTTGAAGTTTTCCAAGCTGCAAACAAACCCTAAACCCTAAACCCTAAACCCTAAATTCTAAATTCTACGTCCCAAACCGCTAAACGGTAACCACTAATCCCCAACTTCCAACCCCCGCGGATAAACCCTAAACCCTAAACCCTAAACCCTAAACCCTAGATGTTGAAGAATCTGACCATCAATAGGCATAAGAAATAGTCTCCATCCTGCTGCAGCACAGGAAGCAATAGCAGTTTTAGCAGCAATAGGCATATTTTGTGTATTAGGGTTTGTATCTAAATAAGATAAAACCCCAACATTACTCGCTGTATCACCAAAGCGACTTAATGGGGATTGAAATAATGCTGGTAATACACCACGATAAAAACGAGGAATTCCTCCTGGTAAATAAATACACACAATTATTATTCATTAATTTATTTATTAATTATTATTTATTGTTTATTATTAATTGGTATTCTTTTGGTGTCTTTTTATATATATATAATTATTATTTTTTTGGGTTTAGGATTTTCTAGGGTTTAGGGTTTAGGGTTTAGGGTTTTCTAGGGTTTAGGGTTTATAATTTATAACATTTTTTGAAATTCAAAAATTTTCAATTAAGAGTATTAAATACATCTATTTTTCAAAAAAAAATTTTTGAAAAAAAAATTAGGGTTTAGGGTTTAGGGTTTAGGGTTTTCTAGGGTTTAGGGTTTAGGGTTTAGGGTTTAGGGTTTAGGGTTTACCCTCTTTCCATAATGTTTTAATAACTTGTGTTGTAGATCCACCATAACGATATTGATAATTCATAGTTGTTCTTAACCACATAAAACTTAATACATTTATAACTTGTGCAGATGCACCAGCAATTCCTCCCTTGAATGCTTGTTCTTTTGCATGACGTAATAAACCCCAAACATTTTGTTGCTGCAATTGTTGCTGTCGTTGCTGCTGCTGCTGCTGCTGCTGCTGTTGTTGTTGTTGGGGAGAGGGCGAGGGAGAGGGAGAGGTGGATACGCCACCCACAGAATCCCCAGAAGAAACAGATTTCTGGATAGACATCCTTAGGGTTTAGGGTTTAGGGTTTTGAGGGTTTTGAGGGTTTTGAGGGTTTAGGGTTTAGGGTTTATTAGAGGTGTCTCGGTTGAGGGATTTAAAAAGATGTCTCAAATATACACATAAAAAGAAATAAATTTAGAATATTTAGGGTTTAGGGTTTAGGGTTTAGATAAAGGATTTATTAGGGTTTATATTATATTAGGGTTTATATTAGGGTTTAGTGGTGAGCAACAACAAACTGTCTGTCTGTTGTCTTCTTTTGTGTATAAAGTTTCTTTTTTTACAAAAAGAAATAAAAAGAATTTAATTATTTTTTTCTTTTTTATTTATAATGCAGTAAGCAATTCGTGTATATATATACACCTAAACCCTAAACCCTAAACCCTTCTCGGGGCCCTGCTGAGCTGTCCATACACCTCAACTACTTTATTAAGAGAATTTTTTTTGTTGTTTTGTTTGTCTCTCTTCGTTAGATAATTTATTCCTTTAAATTTAACTCAATAATATATTCTTTTTTCCTTTATTCACACCCTAAACCCTAAACCCTAAACCCTAAACCCTCATAATAATATTATTATATATATTATACCTGAACAGCGAGCGGTCAAGGGTCTTCCTCTATTGTTTGTATCTTCTTTTTAGGGTTTTTAGGGTTTAGGGTTTATAATAATTGTTTTTATTTTGTTTAATAACATCCAACACACCAAACCCTAATTTAGGGTTTAGACAAACCCTACAGTGGTCCTGCTACCAGGCTGTTCATGGTCTATGCATTAGGGTTTAGGGTTTAGGGTTTATGCGAGTGTTTAATCATATTATATACAATACAACAATTAAATAAATAAAATAAATAAATAAACAAATAAATAAATAAAATAAATAAATAAATTAATTAATAAATACTAAACAAATAGTAAACCATAAACCCTTGCTGTGTGACATAACTAGTTGCTGCTGCTGTTGCTGCTGTTGCTGCTTCTGCTGCTGTTGCTGCTTCTGCTGCTGTTGCTGCTGCAGTGCCAATTGTTATTGTTGCTGTTTCTGCTTATGCTATGGTAACTGTTGCTACTGCTGCATAAGCTGCTGCTGTTGCTCTTGCTGCTGCTGCTGCTGCTGCAGCAATAAGAAACTATTTACGGTGTATATGCAGATAATAATAATTACTAGGTGTATATACACCTCAATTAATTAAATAAATAATTAAATAAAAAATAAATAAAAAATAAAAATTATTTTTATTCGTCAATTAAAATATATTATTGGTGGTGCTGCTGCTGTTGCAGCATTGTACAGTTGCAGTTGCTGCTGCTGTTGCTGCTGCTGCTGCTGCTGCTGTTGCTGCTGCTGTTGTTGCTGTTGTTGCTGTTATGCCATGTGCAACTATCCAGCTGCTGCTGCCTCAGCAGCAAGTGCTGCATCTGCTGCTGCAGTTGCTGCTGCAGTTGCTGCTGCAGCTGCTAAAATCATGACTCTTGCTCGTGCTGTTGCTGCAATTACTGCTGCTGCTGCTACTGCTGCTGCTGCTGCTGCTGCAGCTGACTAGGAGGTACATATAATGCCTCAGGTAAGAAAGTATTGAATACAACAGGCCCATTAGATCCCTCAATAAATCCATCAGCAGGGAATTCCTTAATAAAATATTTTTTTTTTTCTTCCTCCCCTTCTACCTGCTGCTGTTGCTGCTGCTGCTGCTGCTGGTGTTTATCAGCAGCAGCAGCAGCAGCAGCAGCAGCAGCAGCAGCATAAGAAGAAGCAGCAAGTATTTGAGGAAAACAATGAAATTGTTTATTACAATTAATATGATAAGGAAGTACATGAAAAAAAGAAGGAAAAAAACAAACAGCTAGTGTATATAAATGTTGCTCATCATTTATTATATTTAATGATAATATACTTCGTATAAATGAATCCCATATAGGATATACCCTGTATATACACAAAATGTACAAAAAAAAAACGTACAAAAAAAAAACGTACAAAAAAAAACGTACATATACATATACTTTTTACGATATTCGTATACATATTTATATTTATATTTATATTTTTATTTAATTAATTTATTTATTTATTAATTAATTATTGTTGTTGCTAATCATCATTATATATACCCTTGTATACAAAAAACGTATACAAAAAAAAAACGTACATATACATATACATATACATTTTACGTATACGTATACGTACATATAGATATACATAATTTATTTATATTTATATATTTTATTAACAAATTAATTAATTAATTAATTAATTAATTAAATGGTTAATTAATTAATTTAATTAAATTAATTAATTAATAATTACATATATATACATTTAATTAACTAATAAATTAATTAGCTATAAATAAATAAATAAATAAATAAATAAATAAATAAATTACCTTTGTATAGCTCTCTTAGTTCCTCCTAAGAAAGCCCCATTAATAGAGGGAAAATATTTTGCATGCGAAGCAGCAACACCGCAGCAGCAGCTGCTACTCCATGTACCGGGGTGTATACGTTGTGGTGTCTGCTGCAGCAGCAATGAATCTTTTTTTGTTTGCTGCTGTAAGAATTCACCATCTAATGCAGCAGCAAGTACTTGCTGCTGATGATATAATATTGGATCTATTATCTGCTGCATTTGCTGCTGCATTTGCTGCTGCATTTGCTGCTGCATTTGTTGCTGCTGTTTCTTTCCCTTTTCTTCTCTTCCTCCTCCTTCTTCTTCTTCTTCTTCTTCTTGCTGCTGCTGCTGCTGCTGCTGCTGCTGCTGCTGCTGCTGCTGCTGGTGAGGTATAGGATGGTGCAGCAAGAGATGATAAGGTTCATGTTTAGGGGGATCAATCCATAGAAAGAAAGAAGAGGAGAATATATTTGCTGCTGCTGCTGCATATAATAAAGATAATTTAGATAACTGCAGCAAATAATAATATTCATTATAGTATACAGGGTTCCACCAATCTATAGATACACCTGGATTACGTATTGCTGCTGATGCTGCTGTACGTGCTGCTGTAGATATATTTATATATGGTATATTTATTATATCTATAGGTATTATACATATATTCTCTAAATAAGATCTTCTTGCTGCTCTTGCTGCTGCATTTGCTGCTGCACTTGCTGCTGCACTTGCTGCTGCTCTTGTTGTATATCTTGCTGCTGCTGCTGCTCCTCCTCCTCCTGATGATAATATTGATGGGTTATACCTATAGTCTTCTTCTTCTATATCCTCTAGTATATTTTCTGCTGCTGTTCCTCCTCCTTCTGCTGCTCCTGCTGCTGCTGCTGCTGCTGCTGCTGCTGCTGCTGCTGCATTTGCTGCTATATTATCTGCTAGTTTATATACTTCTTTCTTAACATAAGGAAGAAAAAAAGAATCAGCAAATAATATATAACCATGATTAATAAATAAATTTAATGATAATATTATCTGGTGTATATACACCTCAGGATTCTTATTAGGACCTAAAGAAGGAGGAGGAAGAATAAATACACCATTTATTATTGTTGTTTTTTTTTTTCTTCTTTTTTTTTTTTTTTCTTCTTCTCCTTCTTCTCCTCCTTTATTACATTTATTTTTTATTAATAATGTTATATAATCTACTAATGAGGAAGTTGACCAAGAAGAATCAGGTTGCTGCTGCTGTTGCTGCTGTTGCTGCTGTTGCTGCTGTTGCTGCTGTTGGTTTACATTTGCCATATGTCTGTCTTTCTATAGGTACAGGGAAACCAAGCATTAGATCTGCTGCTCCTGGTGCTGCTGCTGCTGCTGCTGCTGCTGCTGCTGCATCTGCTGCTGCTTCTGCTGCTGGCTTAACCTTAAATAAACAAGAAGACTCTATTCCTGTTAATACAGGTACTTCCCCTGCTGCTGCTGCTGCTGCTGCTGCTGCAGTTGCTGCAGTTGCTGCACTTGCTGCTGCTGCTGCTGCCCCATCATATCCTATATCTACTGCTGCACCATCTGCTGCTGCACCAACTGCAGCATCAGCAGCAGGTGCACCAGCAGCAGCACCACCACCACCAGCACCAGCAGCAGGAGCAGCAGCAGGAGCAGGAGCAGGAGCAGCAGCAGGAGCAGGAGGAGGAGGAGGAGGAGGATTTATATATCCTTCTTGTATATAAATACATTTATAAGGATCAAAGAAGTAATCAAATAATGCAAAGAATGCAGAAGAAGAAGAAGAAAAAAAAGGATAATTAAATATATCCTTATTTATTATTTCCTTATAAACTGTATACACATAATATACACCCTAAACCCTAAACCCTAAACCCTAAACCCTAAACCCTAAACCCTAAACCCTAAACCCTTATTTTTTTTTTTATTATTCTTATATTATTTGTGTTTAGTTATTTAGGGTTTAGGGTTTATTTATATAATTATAAGGATAGTGTTTTTATTGTTTATTATTAATATATTACCTACAATATATAAATTAGGGTTTAGGGTTTAGGGTTTAGGGTTTAGGGTTTCTTACAAGGGTCTACATAAGGATTAATGTCTTGACAGGGAATATCTTTCCTCCATGAGGGGCCCTTGTACCCTATATTATTACCAATAGGGTAGGGGGCCCCAAGGGGGCCCCCATATGGGGGAGTACTAAAGAAGGAGAGGATAAAAAGAATAACCAGCAGCACAGCGCCGCAGCACAGCAGCAAAGGTACGAGCAGCAGCAGCAAACCCTTATTTATAGGCAAATGTCTTAATAATAAACCAATCCTGCTGCTGCTGCTGCTGCTGTTCTTGCTGCTGTTCCTGCTCGTCTTGCTGCTGCTGCTGCTGCTGCTGCTGCTGCCCTTGCTGCTGCTGTTCTCCTGTTTAAGGAGACCCTGACGTTGGTCGCCTTCATCGTGCTGCTCTGCTGCTGCTGCTTCCCCTGGGTCGTATAAACTGTTGCTGCAGTTGCTCTTGCTGCTGCTGGTCGTGGTGGTGCTGCTGCTGGGGCTGCTGCTGCTGCTGCTGCTAGAGTCAACAAGCCGCATGAGTCTAAACCTTAAAGGATTTTA